CCAGAGAACTGGCTCCTGCTAGTGCCCACATAATGATAAACAACCCATGGACCAAAAGGTAATGGCTTGTTTAGCTGTTCCCATAGCAAGCAAAAATGATAAGTAGAGGAGGGGAGGAAACACAGCATGCTGAGTTGTCCCATAGTTCCCACCACTCTTGCAGGGAGTCGTCATGAGGGTGCTTTAAAGCACTGCTTATGCAGAGTAAGCCAGCATTCCACAGAACTCAGGCTTACCATGATATTGAAAGGAAAACAGTGTCTCCTTTACTAGTCTCTGACTAGGCTTACCAGTCACTTCTTCTGTTAAACTGAAACTGTGGAGCATCTTTTTTAACCCTAGAAATGGCAAATGAAGTGAGAGAGCTGTTGTGGCATAGCTTCACCTCAGAGGTGAAGCTCTCTCCTCTAGCACTCCCTAGCCATTTAAAAATTGATCAAACATCCTTGAGTTGCCCCTTTTGGGAACACATATCCAAAGACAGTGCACATGTTCAGCTTAAAGCATCTTGAAGTGTTCTCCAGGCTTTTAATGTGAGGAGGCAAATCTTCCTCCACCATGAATTTTACATGGAATTCATTGAAGCTAAATAGAAACAACTGAAGGAAAGCTTGAGACTATTGAGAATATGTTAATATTTTCTGGACATAAGCAGAGTTAGGAGATACCCGGTTGCAAAGACACTGTAAAACTAAGAGAGTAAAATTCAACTTAGTCTATTTACAAATATACAGAGAACATAGACATTCAACTGGAAGAACAGACTTTCAACTGGCAGCATGACATGACATGATACAATATGTAGCATAGAAATAAATGATTTGACTTACAGCAGATTGTTGTTGTTGTTTGTTGTTTAGTCATTAAGTCATGTCCGACTCTTCGTGACCCCATGGACAAGAGCATGCCAGGTCCTCCTGTCTTCCACTGGCTCCCAGAGTTAAGTCCAATTCATGTTGGTAGTTTAATGACACTGTCCAACCATCTCATCCTCTGTCATCCCCTTCTCCTCTTGCCTTCACATTTTCCCAACATCAGGGGCTTTTCCAGGGAGTCTCCTCTTCTCATGAGATGGCCAAAGTACTGGATCCTCAGCTTCAGGATCTGTCCTTCCAGTGAGCACTCAGGGGTGATTTCTTTCAAAATGGATAGGTTTGTTCTCTTTGCAGTCCAGATGACTCTCAAGAGCATCAATTCTTCAGCGGTTAGCCCTCTTTATGGTCCAGCTCTCACTTCCATAC